GCCTCATATTTACACCTGCCTGGAACTGCTGAGGCCCTGGAGTCAGCTCAGGACATCCCTGACCCAGTCTGCAAGGGCCCAGTTCTCTCTAGGGAACATTCTGTCCATTTTCATCTGCTGAGAATAAGTGAGTTATGGCAGCAGGGCTCTTCTTCCACTCACATCTGTATTTTTTCTCCAAAAGTCACCTTAAGACCGCAAGCAGGTAATAGGGAGTGATTTAAAGGATCTCCAGTGTCTGTGCCTTTTTTCCAGTTAGGAAATTGGTGAAAAATCTGTGACTGTGGTTAATACTCCTGCCATTTTGACTTACAGAAGAAATCAGGTCTTTTTCTACAGTATTTGTGTGGAAGATGTACTTTTCAGGAAATTTACTTTGTAGATCAAAGCACCTGTTGGTGATCAGTAGTAACTGCAAGAAAAGATTTTGCCTGGCTTTGCTTCTGATCTTGCATGTGACCTTGGGAAAATAATTTGATGTCACTATTCTCTAGTGTATTAACCATGCAGTTCTGATACTTTCTTATTTTTGGAGCCTTGCTGGCCCCACAGACTGCCCTTCCCAGGGCTAGCCAATCCCTAGAGATAGTAAAGCACTCTCTAGAAAACTTGCTTTTCATATGCAAACCAGCCAATCCAGAGCCCACACCCCAACCATCACTTTTATTAGGCTCTTAGACTTTGGGCCACTATCCACCTACACTAACCATCCCAAGCACCAGATCAGGGGGGACAGCACCCATGTCCAGTGTTCACTGAATTTATTCAAACAGGCCAATCCTAATTAACCTGCTTACCCTGCTTCACCTGTCCCTTCCCACAGAAACAACAAAAAGGCTCTTGTCCACGCTTTTGTCTTGCACCCCTCTTTCCTGAACAACTGGTGCTCCCTCCCCTTGGGAAGTGTGAGTAATGAACTCTCTTTCTAGGGGTGCCCGTGCACTGATCGGTTGGCCCTCCCATACCTGAATAATATAAAACCTTCAATTACAAACACCTACTGAAGGTACAAACCTGGCGCTGGGCTGTGATGATATCATGAAGCCTCCCTGAGGTTCAGGAGGACGTAGGACAGAGGCATTCAGAATCCCTGGTACATCTTGTCACCAGCAACTTCCCCAAATTGGCCCCACACAGAAACTTCTGAGAGAAAGAGTGCCATCTTGTGGTCTCTTAGGCCATTTTTTTTTCTTAAAATGAAAAGTATAATTTTATTTCAGGTGCACAGCCAAATTGAGCAGAAAGTAGAGATTTCCCACGTACTCCTGCCCCTGCAAACACACAACCTCCCCTGCAGCCCCCCACCAAAGTGGTACGTCTGTACAATGGTGGACTTAACATTGATACAGCCAGAGTCCCTGGTCTGTTAGTGTTCACTCTTGGTATTGTACATTCTCTGGGCTTGGGAAATGTATAGAACATGTATCCACCATTGTGGTATCAGACAAAATAGTTTCACAGACCTGAAATCCGCTGTACTCTATTCACTTGTTCTCTCTCAAGCCCCTGGCAACTGAGGATCTTTTGAACCTGTGCTTTTATTTGCTTATTTTTGTAAGCATTTCTAGTCTGGCATTTCTTCCTTTGGCCACCTACTTTGTGCTGGGTACATGATGGGATGATCCACCATCCAACCTCAGAGAAGATATGTGGGTAAGAATAGAAAAAAAGTGAGGTAGGCAAATATATAAAATAATTACAGTATAGCTGGAAAAGATCCTGAGAGAGAATGGGGGCAAGGCTGGCTCATATAGAGTGCAGAGGGAGTATGTAAACTAAGGCATCCAGGATGAAAAGAAGTGGACAGAAGATATTAAGTACAAACTCAGAACATGTAAAATCCCAGGGGCAGGAAATAGTGGGATGCGTTTGAGGATCTGAGAGCTCCATGAACTAGCACATGGGGTCTCAGGGTGCGGAGGTCATGAGATAATGTTAGACCATCAGGAGCTCAGTCCTGCTGGCCTGGTTGGTCCTGATAAGAAATTGAGATTTTATTCCCCTTGCAGTAGAAAGTTCCTGAAGGCTTTGCCCTGGACAGCAGCATAATCTGACAGATATATTGAAAAACCTACATTTGAAGCTAACATTTTACCCATTGCTTTAACATTTATTCTCTCTCTCCAATTATTTTCCTAAACCATTTAGAAAGAAGTCACATATATCATGAATAAATACTTCAGCTTGTTTTTATGGAGGCTATTTTCTTGTATAACTTTTGAGCAAATTATGTCATAAATTTATGTCAACACAATGTTTTTACCTAAATACCATCCATATTCCAATTTTGTTGGCTGATCTAGTAAGGCTGTTTAGAGCATTTTTTATACCATTAGGATCAAATTTAGAGTCAGGTATTGTACATGTCATGACTCTTCAGCTTTTATTGTTGTTATCTTTAATCTGTAACATTTCCATAAATTTTGTCTTTTATAACATTTCTGAAGTATAGGGCTGAGCTATATTTTTTAAAAAGTATTGCACTTGTGTGTGTGTAAAATTCTCTTGTGATTAGACTTGGGTTATGCATTCTAGGTGTGAATTCTATTTTTTTTTTTTTTTCTGGGACCGGGAATCAAACTCACAACCTCGTGCTTGCCAGGCAGGTGCTGTGCCGCTGAGCTAAATACCCAGCCCCTCAGGTGTGAATTCTATATAGGAGATGTATGCTTTCCTCAGAGTATCACATCCAAAGGTCCATGATCCCACCGGTAGCTCATAGGTGATGTTGACTTTGATCACTTGGTCAAAGCGTCACCTGAGTTCTCCACTGCCTAATTACTTTTTGTTTGTTCCCGTGCAGCTAAATCCCAGTCTGCAGGCAGGCAGATGTTTTATAACCACGCAAGATTCCTGCTGCTTTTAAACACTGTCCCATCGTAGGTTGACCAAGATGATTCTGGCCTAATTCAGCCGTTAGTCTGAAGGTGGAAGAGTGATTCCATACTGACCTCTGCCTTTACCATTTCTTCCTTGGCATTAGACGATAACCTGAGCTCTTCTCTTTTTTTCATCTATGATTGGTATCGATTCATGAACTCCTATGTTTTTCAAAGGTTATAATTTATTTCTACACTTAATTACTGTTAAGTATAGTGTTCAAATGGCACCACTTTGGCCAGTGGGAACCCCTTCAGGATGGCTCCTGTGTCCTTGTGATATGTTATCATTTTCTTGGGGAGCCCTTCCTTAATTGCCAGCAAAACAAGCTGTGCCAGGCTTGTCTTGAACCTACATGTTCCAGCCCTGGGATACCCCCTTCTCGCACATGTCCTGGTTCCTTTAATAAAGAAAGATATTAGGATCAAAATTATGATGCTAGGCGTACTTGTTGCTACTAGATATCTTGCTCTCGACCCTTTCAGCAGGCAGAATTAGGGGATATATGTATACACACATACATATATGCATGCATACACTTGCTTGTGTATACAAATACATGGACATATACAAGCACATTCACTTACATTTTATAAAGCATGGGTTTATACTGACCCCTTTAACTCCAGGCCATCCCCTCCTACGGGTATTTCTTGCCTTGCCTGATTCCTTATTTGTGTCTTTCTTCTACAGTGAGAACCATAAATCCCAATGTCAGTCCATTCGCTCTTGCTTAATCATATAGCAGCACATCGAAAGTACTTTCCGAATTGTTTCTCCCTTACCACTGCAATAAACAGACCGTCTGCAGAAGCCAGCATTTGTTCACAATTCTCCCACCCCTCACTCACCCCCACTGACCAAGACTGCATTTAATCATTCTTTCCTCTCCTCCACTGTCTCCAGTCATTTGAATTAAAATTAAATTATTCATTATCTTAAAGGAATGCTGTACTTTGTGTTTCTCCTCTCAACAAGGGCTTCTTTAACATGGTTTTTAAATTCCCATGTAAGAGGTTAGGGAACCTTCTTCTGGGGCTGTTTGTCATTCCAGTGAATTTGATTTGTTTATTTTCCTCAGCTCTTTCCACGCTAATTCTGCTCCTGGAGTGGTCCTTATCTACCTTTCCCCCTGCTTGACACCACCCAGCCTTTATTTCCAGAGCAATCTCTTCCTCTCCAACCCCTTCAGTCCAAGCTACACTTTCCAGTTTTGAAATTCTTACGCATTTATTATGTGTATCTCATCATCGGATGATGAGTTAAGTTGTATCAAGGTCAAAAAGTACCATGGTAGGGAAAAGGAAAAAGAGAAAGAGAATAGAAGAAAAAAAATGGAAATAAAGCTTTGTAAATAGGGAGGGGAAGAAAGGTTGAAGGGAGGGGAGGGAAATGGGAAAAAAACAAAGAGAAAGCTATATTATGTAGAGGTATCAATTCCCTATAATGAAAGTGATCATTATGTATATCAAAAGAGTACCAATAAAATTAAATTTGTAAAAAAGATACCTTCGTGTTAGCTTATAGGTCCTCACATCAGGTTGCCTGGGTTTGAATCTCGGCTCTGTCATGCAAGAATGTGTGACTTTGGTCAGGAACTGTGTGACTTTGTGACTATGGCCCCTATGCCTCAATTTGCACAGCTATATAGGGAGGTAATAGCTTCGACAGAGTAATGGAGACTGCATGTTGCACCTGTGCACGCCTCTGAACGACCGAGAAGCCCATTCAGTAGCCCAAACGTCACTGCCCAGGGTCAAGCCACTGCCTCCAACACTGCAGGGTCCTTGACTTTGGCGGGCTCACCTCTTGCCCGTAGCCCCGCCTTCTGCAGTGGGCCTCGCCTCCGCCCCGCCCCGCCCCCCCAGCGCTTAGCCGCGGCCCCGCCCCCTCTGTCAGTACAGCCAGCGAAAGTCCTTCTCCTGTCAGTACAGCTGAGACCCCGCCCCTTCCTTTTGCTCCGCCCCCACCGTCAGTACAGCTGCGGCCCCGCCCTTTCCTCGTCGCCCCGCCCCCTGTCAGCCCCCTGTAGGTACAACGGCGGCCCCGCCCCTTCCTTGTTGCCCCGCCCCGCTGTCAGTAAGCTGCGGCCCCGCCCCTCTCCCCGCCCCGTCGCCTGAGGCCCGGAGTCGTCGCGCGCGTCGCTGCGGCTGGCCCCGGCGAGGTGCCGGCGCCTGAGGGCTGGGTCACGATGGCGGCCGAGGCCGTGGCTTCGCGCCTGGAGCGGCAGGAGGAGGACATTCGCTGGCTGTGGGCGGAGGTCCAGCGCTTGCGAGACGAGCAGCTGAGCGCGCCCGAGCGGTGCGGGGCTGACGGGCCGAGCCTCACGCGCGAGGTGGCGCAGCTGCGGGCGGAGAACCGCGACCTGCGCCAGCGCCTGGGCCGCC